GGGCTGTGACCTGGGCCTGCCGCAGACGCTGTGGTTCTCAAACCGGGGTACATGTACCCTGGGGGTTCTCAAAGCGATCCGGGCGGTACATGAAAATAATTTATTAACAATCTGTAATGCAAACGTCTGTGTTGAGAAAAAAAAAAACCTGTTGTTCTGTTGTGCGATTTGATTTAGTCGAAAGGACCGCAGGACGGAAGCGTTCTGTCTGATCCGAGGTGATTCCCAAGATCATTACGCACCGAGTTGGACGCAAGGAAATGTTTATTCCTCTAGAAGAATTGCTAAAGCGCTAGCCTACAACTTGACCACTAAAAATGTGCCCCCAGTCTCACAATCACATCCAGAACCGAACATACACTTGCATCATCATCATCGTCATCATGTTTTCAATTCCGCTGTTACAGTCGGGCAGCTGTACAACACAATTTCCAATAGATGGCAGCATTCCCACATGAGCAGTTACATATGCAGGGGCCATGCTAACGCGCTAGCCTACAACTTGACCACTCTCAAATATGCCTCCAGTCTCACAATCACATCCACAACCGAACAGACACCTGCATCATCATCGTCGTCATCATGTTTTCAATTCCGCTGATGTTACAGTCGGGCAGCTGTACAACAAATTTCCAATAGATGGCAGCATTCCCACATGAGCAGTTACATATGATCAGTGTTTTGACTAAGTGATTATTGGAAGGTTTCGACTCATTTACAACTGACTCACTCATTCGTACCCAGAGTCTGTCCCACACCAGAATGCTTTATTCCCAGCTGACAGTGAATGTGCCACAAGTCCACACCTGTCAGTCACCGACACCTTAATTAACAAACAATGGAGCTGTGGCTGAACACAGCGGTCACCATGCTGCCAGGAAGAAAAGAAAAGAAACAAAGGCAAAAGGGAAAAGCCAAATGGAACAAGTCAGAACCAGGAGTCTTTAGATTTAAAATGTTAAATTCAGGGTTGAAAAAAAACAGCGCAGTGGCTAAAGATGGCAACAAAAGGAAACAACAAACAAACAAACACAAAAAACAACTGCCTCTGTCACAAAATGGAAAAGTCAAAGTGTTAAACAGAGGGCAAGCAGAAACAGGTGTTTATATACCCTAATGAGGGGGCGGAGTTAACAAGACAGGTATGATGATTGGTTGGGTAATCACTGTGGCGGGAAACTCAGGAGGCGGGACCAGGAGGAGGCAGGAAGAGCAACAGCAGAGAAAATAAAATATAAAGAGCAAATACATTATAATTTATAAGAAAATAAAAGTCACTCAGCTGCAGGAGTGATAAGAGAGAGACAGAGAGAGAGACAAAGACAGACAGAGAGAGAGAGAGGGAAATTCAGATCAAACATTCCAGTCATGTTAATGGATCAAAACAACGCAGATTATTCTTTAGCTTTAAATTATATATTTTTTCCTGTTACACCAAACTGCAACTTTAACACAGACACACACACAGAGTGTCGTGTTTGTTTGTAACCGTCATCTTATCACCAATGACATCAACTCCACAGCTGTGTACACATTCATTTTTTCACTTATTGACCAAACAAACTACATTTTTTTTCCACAGTCAAATACCAGTGGAGAGCGATGCGGCTACACATCTCACCCAATCACATGCAAACAAACAGACTGGTTAGGAAGCGTGCATGTTGTAGCTCTGATTGCATTTATCAAATAACAATAATAATAAAATTTTTAAAAAATGCAGAATTAAGGTTTCGCATCTTCTGTGACGGTGTGTTTATTTATTTTAAACAGGTTTAAACGTAAAATATCGAGAATTCTGAAGATAAATAAACCCATCAAACCAATTTAAATACACATTGTAATAATTGTTAAAACAATTTTTTTATTAGTATCGATGTCACAATTCCCTTTCTTTCAACATTTGAATGCACAGCAATGTGACGTCTGGCGGTTCATATATGTGTCTACACCGCCATCTGCTGTTTGTATAGAAGCAAGGAAGTATTTATTTAAGACGAGGACACAGTTTTACTTCTTTTTGGTTTTTAATGCTTTTGCAGCTCAACACAAGGACAAAGAAAGAAGAAAAATCCAGTGAGACCTTTTGTTTACAGTATCATTTTACCCTTCAATTTAAAGTGACGTGGCAGAAACGACTCTTTTTATTTTAATTTTTTATTATTATTTTAATACATCTCTGAACACCTATTTAAATAAAGATTATTTTAACACATCTCTGAACACCTATTTAAATAAAGTTCAATCTACGAAAAATAATCAGCTGTGAAAACAAAATAAATTCACACAAAAATCATTGACACAGTACACAACAAATAACTTAATAAATAATAAACCAAAAAGAAAAACTTTTCCTATGAACTGCAAAATAACTTAAACATTTGACAGTTTCCCTGTTTCACTAAGGCAACTACAGTAGTTCTAATATCTGCAGGACTGAACTGTTACTGTGAACCTGGAGTATGAAGCGATTTTAATGGTGATCACGACTTAAAAAAAGCTAAATATACTGTATATATACACTAAGTACAGGCCATGAGGAGTGCAGTGTAGGGGTCTTTAGGGATGAATATTGGTGTGAAGGTTGAATAGTGACTCGTTTAACTTTGTTCAAAAATCTGATTCTCAGAGTCTTTTATGTACATATTACTACGGCAGACTTAAACTTCCAATCCCATAATGCACAGTGCCAGCACCAACAGAGAAGCCAGGCTGAGCGTGGGCGTGATCGTGGAGGCTTGACCTGGAAAAGGAGGAAAAAATAAAAATAAAAAAAAAAAATACTATAAAAATATTCAGACTTGATTTTCCTGATTTCAATCTCACCCAGAAGCCTGATCTTCCTGACGGGGCCGTCTCCTCCTTCGTAACGCCCCCTCACCATCAGCTCGTAGTCGCCAACCTGAGGCATGGGGAAGTCCATGAAGTGCCAGCCGGTGATGTAGACCTTGCCGTAGATGTAGCCCGTCTTTCTGAACATGACCTGAGACAAAAAATATACACAAAAATTCTTATTATTTCTTTTTTTTAAATCATCAATTTACAATGTACTGTACACACACCTTGTAGTAGAGAGGGAAGGAGAAATTCCCAAACCAGTCGTACTGGATGTGGTCCCACCACACGTACAGCCACATTCCTGTCCAGCTGATGTAGCGCCACATCCTGGGTGGATCTGGTGGTGCTGCGGACAAAGACAAACTTCTCTAGACCACATCCATTCGTATATATTTTACAACGTTTTGAGACTGAGTATTTGGTCTTACGTGGTCTCTTGGTGAACATCTCGCAGTGTTCTCCCGGTGGTCCCAGGCCGGCACCGTTGAACGCTCGGACCTCGATGAGGTAGTGAGAGTCCGGCAGCATGTTCTCCAGCCTGGTCTGATTCACAGTGGCTGGAACAAATATGCGGTTCGCCCCCGGCTCAGGGTCGTCGTACTTCCTCCAGTATTTTACCTGGTTGAAAGAAATGTTTTAAATATAGCTATGCTAAGCTAAATGTCCAACAACTACAGCTCTTATTAGCTGTTATTGCAAAAATCAATTAAGTCAAAGTTGGACAAATCAAGCAAATCAAGTTCAGACTATGCTTAGCTAATCGTAGCTAACTGATAGCTAAGGTTAGCCGAAATAGAATAGACGTAATTTAAAAGCTACGTGGAGCAAATAGAGGCTAAAAACCCAGCAATTTATAAACAACACTTTAAAATTCGAGATGGATTTTTAAAATGGCAAATGTAAATATAAAATATAAATAAATATAAAAAATATAAATAAAATAAAATAAGAAATATAAAAGTAAGTCAGGCCTTGTGATAACTAAAAGTTAGCCAAAAAGTTGCTAGTGAATAAATGTGCCGCACCACAGCGACACCTATAGTTGAGAGAGGTTGGCTAGTTTTCGACAAATATCTTAGTAAAGTACTACGTTTGTGACATACCTGGTATCCCTCGATGTACTGCTGCAGGCCGGTCCCAGTGTCCACCACTGGTAGCCACCAGACCAGAGCTTCTGTGGAGGACACTGGCCGGGCATAGACGTCTGTGGGAGGCTCTATGGGTACTGTGAAGATCAGGGAAGGAGTGAAATATAACAAAATATATTCACCTTCTGAGGTTCTCACCAATGTTATCAAAGATGACATATATAGAACGTACCATCTCGGGGGTAGTAGATGACCTTGGTCAGGCTGTACGGTCCGTCTCCCTTCACATTAAAGGACTTGATCTTCACCTGGAACTCCCGAACCTGGTAGTCTTCCTCAGTAGGGAGGAAGTAGGAGTCTCTGTGGACGTAACGTCTGGTCTCGGGGTCCGAGATGGTCTCGTAGAACCAGTCGTATCCATCGTGAGGCTTGAATGCCACGATGTAACCGAACTTCTTGCCGTAGAAAAACCACGGTTGAACAGGCTGGACGTCGGTGAGCACAAACAGAACGACACATTAGGAAACTGATTGTTGTTGTTACACTAACGTCATGTTAAAGTCGAGGGTCTCTTACATTCCAAGTGATGACGATCTCTCCGTTTCTGCCTCCGTATCCTGCCACATCAGTGGGTGAAATCACAGGAGCTGAGGAGGAAGAAAGGTCGTTAACGTTAACAATAAAAAAAATAAGCAATGAACAGTCGACGTTAGCGTTCTCTTCTTACGAGAGTCCCAGGTTTTAATCTTGAGTGAGGGGATGCTGGCCTCCCCAGACCCGTACTCATTGGTGGCGATGATCCTGAACTGATACTCCATCCAGGCGTACAGATCTGTCACCTCGGCCCTGTCCATACTGCCATCGATAACAGCAGGAGCTGAGGAACAACAAGAAGAATAAATATATTTTTATTTCATATTTAATTTGTTTTAAGGTTGTTAAAATAATGCATTAAAATTTGGTAAAAATAATTTGAATTTAAACCATTTAAACACAACAGAATGATACCCACTATTCATCTATTGACTTATTGTTGCTCTAATTCACAGTCAACCCTCTTGTGGTCATTTGCACACATTGCAGAAAAAACCTTTTGTTTCACTAAAGCACCTTAATCTCAAAATACCACCTTAATACCCAGCATGCTTTAGTGGAGGACAAAAGTATCTCATCACTCCTACAGTACCTTCAGGAGTGAATCTCAACTGCAGAGTGAGTCTGCCCTCTGTTGGTGAACAGCGGTACTCACAGGTGCTGGCGTTCCTCCAGTCGTCCTCATACAGAGCCCAGTAATGCCTGGTCTGGATGGTGTAGTACAGGATGGGGCTGTTGTGCTCCGCCCCTTTACTCCACAACAGCTTCACCCACGTGTCGCCGATCTCCTCAATCCTGATCACGCCAGGCGGTCCAGGGACACCTGGAAACACACCGGCACGGATTCACAAGGACAGGGAATCAGCCCACGACCCACCATTTGTTGGTGAAGACCAGAGCACGTTGACATCTGTGCAGATACTGACCTACAATCTTAAGGTCAGCGTACGCTGTATCGCTGTCCACCACAGTCTGAGCTGTGCAGGTGTAACGACCCTCGTGCCAAATCTGGACGTTCTTTATCCTCAGGTCACCGCTGCCGTCGTCGCTCTGAGAGGACAAACAGAAGGACACGAGGAAAACAGAAAGGGAGTAATGTAAAAAAAAAGTCTTGGTATTTGACATCAGAGGTGAAAACGAGGACTGAGGTCATCCTTCACTCTACCATGACACGTTCATAGTGCTGCCACTCGGCGTCAAAGTCGATGACTCTGAAGTCTATGGACCAGATGAAGGTGATGTCCAGCATGGGATCGTAGGAAGCAGCGCAGCTCAGAATGACCTCATCTCCAACTCTGGCCTCTGTGTCTTCAGGGGGCGCCGTCAGGCTGGTCGCCTCTGAGTAAAAAATGGTTCATTACTGATAATATCGACTGACCAATAAGAATCATTATCGTTGTTTTCCTCCGATAATGAAACCCTGATAACGCAATGCCTGGGTTTCCCCAAATAATGTGTGCTCTAAAAATAGTTTTGGGGATGAACAGATGTATATTTAAGTGAACGTCACTAGATGGCAGCATCACTGCTCATTTAATCAATCTCATACTGATACATATCGGTTGATATCGGAATTATAAATTAAATGTTTGGACAATATCGTAACATCGAATATAGGCAAAAATATCCGACATCCCTATTCATTACTAAAAAATTGAATAAAATTAGGGATGTCCGATAATTGCAGCCGACCAATATTATCGGCCCAATATTACCGTCCGATATTACCGCCCAATATTAGCACAATTATGTTATAACTGTGAGAATCATTATCGGTCTTCCACCAATAATGAAAATCCGATAACTTAATGCCTGGGTTACACCAAATATACTGGAATCACTTGTGGTGTACCGACATGTTTATCGCAGTTCTGGTGAAAACAGCTGAATATATCGGTATCGGTTGATATCGGAATCAGATATTAAGTGTTTGGTCGGCATATCGGATTTCTGCAAATAGTTCATATCGGACATCCCTAAATATATAAGTACGTTGTTGATTTACACCGACCTGTGGTGGTGAGGTATCCGGAGCTGCTGGACTTCCCTTTGTCGTTCTCGGCGGTGCAGGTGTACGTTCCCTCATCGTTGATGGTGGCGTTGAGGATCTCCAGAGTTCCATCGTACAAGATGGAAATCCTGAGAACGTTTGGAAAAACAAATTTAAAATTATTTTTTCCTGTGTCTTGTGCGTCCACTCTTGTCTCGCACACACTGACCGTGAGTTGTTGAAGAGCAGCTCTTTGTCCTTCGTCCACGTGAAGCGAGGTCTGGGAGCCGCTCGAGGTTTGCACTCGATCACCACCCGACCGTTCCTGGCTCCCAGCAGCTGCTTCTTTATGGGGTTGAACTCAAAGGTAGGAGCACAGGCTGCAGGGAGAGCACGGAGGGAGGCGTTTGTACGTAGTACTCGTGAGGTTTACTGCAGTATGTGTGAAGCATTTACCGATGACTCGCAGCTCGGCGTTGGCGTATTTGATGCCCCAGTAATTCTCGGCGATGCACTGGTACATCCCAGAGTCGTCCTGCGTCAGACTGGAAAACTTCAGCTCTCCTTTGCCGTACTGAGGAAACAATCACAGCCAGTATAAATGTAAGTATTTAGTATTTATGTTATGTGTTGTACTGTAATACTATTTTTACAGTTTAAGTTTTTCCAGATTTTCCTTTTTTCCACTAATTTTTCAGCTATTTTCTAACACTTTTTTTTAAACTTTTTTAAAAATTAAATTCAGTTTGAGAGATTTCTACTTTTCTTATATATTAATGCAGGCAAAACCTTTATTTCTTTATTTTGTAATATTTTATTTTATAATATTTTATTATGTTTTCCAAGTAAATATTAAAACTCAAAATTGACTTTGTATTTCTGTATATTTATATGTTGTACAGTTTTCAATACTTCCGCTTGGTTACTACAAAATGTTGTAGTAGAGTTGAGATTTTTGTCCCTGACTTGACTTGATCCAATTTTAGTTGATTTTTTTATTTTTAAAATCTATTTTATATTCTTCTTCTTCTTATTCACTGTCCAGTGACATTTTACAAAATATTCCAGCACATATTTGGAATAGAATCGGTTGTGTTGGTTCTGCAGTGTAGCGGTTAGCGCCCCTGCCTCTGAAGCAGTCCTGGGTTCGATTCCCAGAGGAACAGGATCAGCCTCCAAATCTGATGTTTACACAAGAATTTCCCAAATATGGGATTGATGAAGTTTTTTTTTCTTACTTTATGAAAATTGAAAAGCTACAAACTACCTTCTTTTTAGAATTATTCTTAATCAAAATCACCCCCAAATTATTAACTTTTTTTTATAATTTCTCACACTCACTTCTTTAGATTTTCCCGTTGACTCAGATTTCAATGAACACGTTATTTTCTAACCAGTGATCGCTCTGTTAATTCTAGTTTTTTTTACCATGTATCCGTCCTTGTACCAGCGGATGAAGGGGAAGGGTTTCCCCGACGCCACACAGCGCATGGTGTGTTCAGAGCCGATGTCCATGATGGTGTTGTTGATGGTCTCAGCCCACTCCGGCGCAGCTGCAGTCACAAAAACAACCAGTAGGGGTTCAGTTGTATTGACGGTGTCGTAATAACGAGAGAGATGAGTGATGCTGTGAAATCCGCCTCCTTCCACTTACACTCCACGTAGAGCCACGCCTTGTGCCAGTCCTTCCCTTTGGTGTTGATGGCTTCGCACTCGTATCCGCCGACGTCTTCGTACTGCACGTTGTACAAATGCAGCACGGCTCCCGACTCGCTGATCTCGTGGTTGGCTGGGAGGTCGGTGGCGTCCACCTTCCTCCAAACAATATGAGGCACCGGACTGGAGGGAAAACAACAGTTGGTTGAAATATATAATTAACACATGATGATGTTGTTCCTACCTGGTTGAAGACTTACTTCCCCAGAGCGAAGCACTCCAGGGTGATATTAGAGGCCAGCATGGAGGTAGTGTCTGGGAACCTGACCCTGATGTCTGCTGGGTATTTTCTCTCCTCGCCTGAGGGTCAAACAAATAGTGAACATTTAGAAATTATACACATTTGATAGTAATTCTCTTGATATGACGTAAGACTAGGGATGTCCGATATAAACTTTTTGCCGATATTGTCCAAACACTTAATTTCCGATTGCAATATCAACCGATACCGATATTGGTCTAGTAGTATTTATCTGTACAAACCACTGTACAAGTTGCTGGGACCAGCATTCTCCATACAATCCCGATTCATTAAATGAGCTGCAATGCTGCCATCTAGTGACTTTCACTTTCACATACAGCCGTTTATCCCCAAAAATATTTTTATGGCACAAACCCAGGCATTGCGATTTTGGGGTTTTATAATCGGATGAAAAATTAATAACTTAATTCTTACAGATATGACATAATTATGCCAATATCGGCCAACCCATATTATCGGACATCTCTACACAAGACGCAGCAGCGACCTTCATCAGGAGGCAGAGGGATGAGTGGAATGAACTTGGAGAAGACACTTTTGCCGGTGATGGGACTAGAAACGTAACAGGAGTAGTTTCCTGCATCCTGAGCTTCCACCTTAGCGATGTACAAGTTTCCCGTCCTCTGGGAGACGAAGCGGCGTCGGTCCGGGATCAGGAAAACGGGGAGTTCGTTGTAGATCCAGCGGTAGGTCACCGCCTCTGAGAGAGAAGGGCAAGAAAAATGAAGTGTGACGTTGATTTGACAAATTTTGAACCCAATCTTCTGGAACATAGAAGGAAGAGGAGGAGAAGAAGGAAGAGGACGCACCAGGCCAGGCTTTTGGAGGAACACACAGGAGAACTGCCCCTTGTCCTTCTTTGGCGTACACAGGATCTCTCTCCTCATCAGGAAACTCCTCCAGAACTGAACAAGTGAATGTAATTAAACAGCACTTGTAACAAGATGATACAAAAACAAAACTTCTAATAGTCCAGTCTGAGTTCTTGTCTGTTAAGTCCAAGGCCTAAGGCTTTGGTCTTAGTTTAGTCTCTAAAGTCCTGATCCTCCAGCCTGAATCCTCTTCTCTAAAATCCGAATCCTGGTACTGGTCCACGTCTCCAAAGTCCAAGTCCTAATCCTTGAGCCTAGTCAATAAAGTCCTAGTCCTGATGCTCCAGTTTGATTGATTAGCACTTTTATTCCCACCTAATCCACGTCATGGACTCCAGTCCTACACCACTGTTTACAGCAGACTTACAGCCAAACTTGATGCGCGCCTCTTTGCTGATGACAGTGCCGTGTATGTTCTTGGCCACACAAACGTAGGTGCCCGCGTGCTTCTTCTGTTTGGGGTTGGTGATAACCAGGTTACCTCCAACCAGACTGTAGTGCTCATCCGGCTGCTCCAACAACTTGATCTCCCAATTATCACGGCGCCACCTGGTGACCAAAATAATAAAATCCTGTTTAGTTGTTTGGTATATATTTTTTTCTCTCTTCACATGACCTGTGATAGTAACCTGTATGCGGCCGGAGGGTTTGCCCGCGCCCTGCAGTTCATGGAGATTCTGTTGTCGGGTGAGTCCTCGATGTAGACCACGTCCACAGGTTCCTCCTCAAAGATGGGGCCATAACCAGTGGCATCCTCTGACAAATGGCAACGAAAATTAGTTGGGCGAGCACAATAATGCGCCGTGATGTGCTGATGATAAGAGGGTCTCTGACTCACCTCCAAAAATTCGGGGCTCTCTGAAGATGATGGCAACTGCGACGCAAAGAGAAAACACAAACTGAGTCGAACAAAAGGAGAAAAAATGTCTTTAAAATTCAAATGATGGGGGATTTGGATAACACTTATATTTATATTTAATTTTTTATTTAATTAATTATGATGCTTACCATATTTAATGTACAACCAGTAATGATATTTTGCTCATTAAAGGCTAGTCAAATGCTAAATTGAGTCAAAACAAATGGAAAAAGAATCAAACATAAAAAAAAAACAAAACAAACTACAAAAATAATCAACAACTAGCATAATGTATGCAAAAATAAGCTAAATAAATAAGCTTAAATTGCTAAACAATTGCTAACTGGAAATCTAAAAGAAAGGCCAAGAACAGTTAGTTAGCCAAAAGCTAAGTTCCAAAAAAGTTTGTGATCCAACCTGAAAATATTTTACAAGGTCACAAAATGTACCCCTCAAAAGGAATTATATTATTATTTATATATATTGACAAAAATACATCATTATTCAGGGTTTTTTTTTTTTAAAGATCATGTTGTTTTCCTGACCTGTGAGAGGGTTGAATGAGGAGCAGAGCGTCAGCAGCAGCAGAACACCGGTGGCCATTCTGTAGGACAGGAAACTGGAGAGTTGAAAAGAAAAGACTAAATAAAAGATTAGAATATATTTCATAAATGTATTAACAGTTACAGTACAGCGACACACGGACGTGAGCGTCGGGAGAGGGAATTGGATTTTTTCTCCCCAGAAACCAACCTGCATCTTTAAAAGATGAGAGTGACTCAGCAGAGTGTGTGTGTGTGTGTGTGACTGCAGAGAGAGAGACACACACACATACACACACAATCCAGATCCTACTGGTGTTGCAGAGCTGGAAGCTAACAGTTACCTTCATTGTGGGCTGCACATTTAAATGACATTATCATACAGTACTAAACAGGATGACACAGTGGAGAAGTGGTTACAGTTCATGCCTTACACCAAGTAGACGACCACCAGTCGGCTGGAACCTCACGGTTCTTCCATATGGACTTCGAATGTGCTCGGACTTTCTCCACCCACAGTCCAAACACACAGATTGGGTTGATTGTCCAATCTTAATTGTGACCCGTGATTGGCTACAGAGGTGCGTCCCCTAAAAGTGGTCCATATTTAGTCCCCCCTGTTTTTGAACCACATGGCAAACATGATTGTGGCCCAGACTGCACATCATAAAATGGCTAAATCCAATAGCACGTGTGTCCCATATGGGCCAAATTTGGAACACGCGTATTGTTGTTTTCTCCAAGAGAAGAGACGGTTGTGGCCCACGGATGACAACAACAACATGAGGTTAGGTTTCTGGCCCCAGAAACACATCATGGGTGGCAACAAACTCCTGACCTCCTGGAGGTCAAACCCCATGCCCCGCCCCACCAACCACCAATCCATCCGCCTCCTGTAAACATCACTGTTTTCATTCAGTTCTCTCTGGACTATAATCCCACCACAGATCCTCTTTAGTCCGTGAACACAGAAGATTTGGGTCAACACGCGTGTGTTCAGAGGATGAACGCAGAGAGTTTGTGATTTCAATCACATTTTCAGGCAATTTCTTTTATCAAAACTAAACTATTACTTTTTGGCTTGACATTCATCGTGCACACAACTTGATTTGTGTTTTTCAATTTCGGTTATAAACCTTGCCTGCATCACTAGAGGGTCATGGTGACGTCATCAAGACAGATTAAATGTGAGGGGTATGGTGCATCCAGCAGCTCTCTCTCTCTCACACACACACACACACACACACACACTCGCACACTGATATCTTAACCTTGCTGCTCCCAGAATCCAGCAGAGTTGTTTCTCTAACATGAGATAAAAAAAATTCACACAGACAAACTGTGACGTCAGCCTCAGTAACTAACAGAAAATATTTGGGTTTTTTCCCGTCAAAAGTAAGTGCGCAGCGGCTCGGCGGCACCGCTCCGTCACTCACGGCTCTGCAATGCGGTACTTGATGGGTCGGTCCGTTTCTGCAGCACGCGGCAGATTCTGCCTCGTCACTGTTTGTCCTCACACAACAGCCCGAGCAGGAGAGACGTTTTCAACAGCACTGCGCTCTTACCTTGCAGGCAGGAGGGGAGGCAAAATTCAATTCCTTGTTTGCATGCCACACCTGGACTCGAACCGCACCTTCCGGCAGCAGCACCAACACCAGCACACACCAGACCGTCCCGTCCTGATCAACTTTTCTATTGGCTAGAAGGGGGTGAGCTGCGATTGGTCCATGAGGAGAAAAGGGGAGGGGGGGACAGGAGCGTCTGTGCTGCTGCTGCACAAACAGCTGAGGCAGAGACACGAACGCAGCATCTTCTGCATCCGCTTCACCACGTGTTCAAAATGTAAGGTTTAAATAATAACACAAATATATAGCAAGTAATGGGTGCTATACATACACGTATGCACTCGTGTTCATTATTCTACACTTTAACCTAATGTTTATCAAATGGTGGCTCGCGGCCCGAAACTGGACCACAGGATTGGGTTTGTGCGGTCCCATTAAACTGCAGATATTTAGCATGCATGTGTCGTACATGTCACAGATGTAACTGCCCCACAACTGACTATGTATGTTTTTTTATTTTATTTTTGTCTTTTTTTATTTTGACTGTGTATTTTTATTTTATTTTTGTCTTTTTTTATCAAAGAAACAGAAAAAAAACATACACAAAATTGTACTCAAAGATCGTACAGAAAATATGGATGTCGCCGTCAAGTTTAAAAAAAAATATCAATGGCTCGTGTCCAATCAAGTTCATCGTATTGTCCCTGCTTTACCGGCTGTTTTCCCTTAAATTAGATTTTGAATCGCAAACTGACAACATGATCCACTGATCACAGCCCAAAAAGTCGTGATCAGACAGTAAACTTTTCTCATTAAATCTGTGAGGCTAAAAAGAATAAGTAACATACATTTCACTTTGGCCTCATTTGGACTGTTAATAAAAAAAAATTCAGCATTTTTTTTCAGCATTTGTCCTGTTGATCCTATCATGTCTCGGCTTAGTCAGGCCACAGATCTCCATCGTCTTGAACCTTTCTTGTCAGGACAAACCATGGTCGATGTCTCATGCCCGTCCCCGCTGTGATCGTCTTTGTGTCCGTCCTCCAGACTTTCAAATGTGTGGATCGCCTCACGTAGTTTGGTATTCTCCTGGTTGATGGTCTTTTTGGCCAAAAGGAGTTTACCCCAGTGGCTGACCAGAGTCTTGTTCTGCGTGAACTTATCTCGAAGGTTCCGGTTCACCTCCATGAGGATGTCGTTCTCTTTCTTCACGGCGTCGATCTCGGCCTTCATCTCGTAGTATTTGCTGAGCCAGGGTTTGACATTTTGATGTTTTTCCTTCAGCTCCTGGAATCTGCACTGAAGAGCGTTATTCAGGTTGATTTTCGCCTGTATCTCCGCTTTGGACGCCGTGTAAAGTGCCGTGAGGTTCTTCTCGTCTTCTAGTTTTTCTGTCAGATCCTGAACCTGCCGCTGGAGATGGATGTTGCACAGACTTAACACGTGATCCTCCTGTTCCTTCTTCTGGATCTTGTCCTTCAGGTGATTCTGCACCGCGAGCCTCTGGTTGAGCTCCAGAATCTGAAGCCGCAGCGACTCGTTCTCCTGGCTGAGCGTTTTAACGTCGCTTTTCAAATGCCGATATTCCTCCTCTAAGCCCTTGGGGTCGCAGAGTTTCTTCGTTATGGCGGCGATGTCCTGTTGGAGCGTACACTTGCTCTGACACAGGCCTCGCCTCTTCTCCTCTGCCGTCCGTCTCTTCTCCTCCAGGGTCATTTGAGCCTGGAGTTGTTTGTGCAGCCTGCTTCGTTCTTTTTCCAGGTGTTTGTTCAAGCCTTTGGCATCTTTCTCCGATGCGTTGATCTCTCCATATTCGTGTGGGAAGTTGTGGTTAACAGCTATCTGACATTTGTCGCCCAAGATGGAATCCTGACCTCCTCCAATGCAACACATGCAGTAATGATGAGTTTGTTCTTCACTGCCATTCTGCCTGGTGGCGCTGTTCTCCCTCTGAAGGTCCTCGAAGATGAGCTGTTTACGTTTAAACATGTCGTCCGCCTCCTGTGTACCATTGTACACAAAAGTATTTGGGATATGAAACCCCCTTCTTTAGAGCAACAGTATCGGACGGTAGAGGATCATCAAATGTAGAAGATCTAACAGATCTTTGTGTGTTTGTTCTGGTTCTTTCACAGCGGCAGACATCGGTACTAGTACAACACTACTTTGTCCTCACCTCATTGAGTTGGGCTGGTCAGTTGGTGTGGTTCCCACAGCAGTTAGCAACACTTATGACATCATCTTGTTCAACCTTTCAAGAGTGAAGATGAAAAGCAACAGCACGTTTGATCAAATCGGTCCAATCAAACATCAGAAGTCAAACTGTCGGCCTTTGATTTTTTTTTTTTTTTTTGGGGGGGGAGTACAAAATACTTTCTGCTTCAAAATCAATAGTAATGGTATTTTCAATAAATTAAAATGTATGAAACTGAGATTTGCTATGGCTAAAAATTCAATTTTATATATGACTCCATATATTTTATATATGATGTTGACCTCAATATTAAATTATAAATTATTATTATATTTTCCAGGCTATAAGTTGCTCCACAGTATAAGTCGCACCAGCCTAAGGTTGAAAAAAAGTGTGACAAATACTGGTACATGATCCTACAGTGCTTAGGTTGAAAAAAAGTGTGACTTACGGTAGTAGCAAATACTGGTACATGATCCTACAGTGCCCTCTAGCGGCTGTCGATGTGAAATAACAAACATTTGAAATGATATAGTTTGATATATAAGTCGCAAACCCAGTCAAAGGATGAAAAAAAGCGCGACTTATAGTCTGGAAAATATGGTATATTTTTAAAAATATTTTAAATTAAAAATGTCTTTTTTGTGCTTGTACTTTTCAATGATTTCAAATGATAAAAAAACACTAACGGCTTTAGAAAGATAATAATATTGTCATAAATGACACATCTTTACTAGTGAGCAGAGATAATTTGTAAATCAAGTCTAAATCAGGGCACGTTTATTTTCCTACCTTTATCAGTTGTTGTCTTTTACAGTGGCTTCAGGGAGGCAGCTGTCTGGCTCATTCACACACACGTGTACACACACACGGCAAAATATGTCTCTTCTGTGAAACAAGGGCTGGGAATTGAACCCTCACAGTACCTCACCGAAAGTCTGATCCATGTCCTGCTTTGGCCAAGCACCTTTAAAGAAGCAAAAACAAAAAAAATCCTGGTTAAGTTAATGCAGTCATACAAGTACATCGTCATTTAGATGTTAAATTTAGTTTTTGAATTTAAGGGAATGAATAATTAATATTTTTTACAGCCCCCCGTCTGCTTTCTTTAAACCCCTGCTCTACATATGTAAAGGTAACCGTCCATGTCATGGCCTCCTACCTTAGTAACTGTATCTGTCTGGTCTCAAGGAAACACTTTCCAGAAAAAACAGACTCCAATAAACCTTCAACTGGCTGGTAAAACACTAAATATACTGGAAAATTGAACATTTGTGGAATAAAATCTTCCTAATTGCACAATAACAAATTCAATTTTTAATTGTTTGCACAGTGCTGCTGCCGACTCTGACAACAATTTGCTCCAGTGTGGGGCAAATAGTAATATAATATAATACAATATAAAAAAATCAGAAGGATGGAGAAAACAAAAACAGAAAAAATTTACAAAAAATGATGAAAATAAATTTGCCTTTTATCCTTCGTGGTGGGGTCAGATTGGTGATCACCCGTGTGGGCTTTCACTGTGGACCACACTAAAAATTAAAATCCATAAAAACACTAGGAATTACAATTTTGATGTGGCCGTTCAGCTTTTTAATCCGGCCCGCCAAACCTTTCCAAATTGAATAATTTATTTATATTATAACTATGCTTCTGCATTTTTTCTGCAATACCCGCGTTTCCCCAATAGATGGCGTAGAAAATGATAAAAGCATTTTAGCATTTCAGCTTTTATGCATGACTTTTCTACATGTCATTCATCTTAGTCCACACGAACATCTCCATCTTCGAAAAACTATTTATTCTTGTAATCAATCTATATTAATTATGATTGATCACGATTAATTGTCATTAATCGTGATTAATTGAAATACTATTCTAGTACCAATCCAAAGAATTGATAAAAAGAAATACTATTCTAGTACCAATCCAAAGAATTTGCAGGTTCAAATGTCTGGATCAGCCACTGTTTCGGTCTTGGTGTTTGAAGGTTATTTGTCGGTTCAAAGAATGTGCAGAAATGACTTTCAGTTTACTGCTTAAAGTCATGTATTACACAGTCACAAACGTACAGTACATATTTATACCCAGGCCAAAGACAAGGGACAGATATTATACAATGATGACTAGACAAACGTTGTCGGCATCATCAGAGTGATTTACGTTCACCACAAAGGACACGTTAGCGTTCTTCTGCCAGTGTTTTTTGTGTGGATCAGTCAGTTCTCGTTTTTCAACGTTGACCCATTAGCGCTCTCTCTCTTAGTACACGTCTTGTCGGCCCTCCCAAACCTAAACTCCAATTTGTCATCCGCCGCCTTCAACTCGCTAATGTACCGCTGCACATACACACTCACACGCTTTCTCTTGTCTTTGCACCTATTGACCCTAAGTTGCTCTTTCAGGAACTTTAGGCTCAGCCCCCGAACTTTTCTCCTGAGGGCTGTCCTGTGTAGGCGCGCCACTTCTTTCTCCACCGCGACGACTTTGAGCTTGTCATCTACGTCTTTGCAGTCTTTAAGCTCTTCGCGGAGTTTTTCGATTTTAGCGCGTAGCGCATCGTTTTCTTCTGTGATGGTCTTTTTGGTCGAAACAAGCCTATCGTAGTCCTGAATTACTGTCTTGTCGTGGGTGACCTTATCGTTGAGTTTCTGGTGGGCCTCCCTCAGGGTGTCACTTTCGTTTTTGAGCGTTTCGATCTCGGCTTTCAGGTCACGATATTTGGTCAGCCGAGGTTTCATTCGTTCACACTCTAGCTTCAGGTCCTTCAGTCGGTAATGGAGGCTGTAGTTCAACGTAATCTTGGACTGTCTCTCCACTTTGGCTGTATGATATAGGGCCTCTAATGTTTTGTGGTCTTTTAGTTTTTTGCTAAACTCCTGCACCTGCTGTTGGAGGGCAACATTGTGCAAGGATAAATCTTTTATATCATCCTGGCTTTTTTTTATTTTGTTCGTCATGCGGATTTGTAGCGCCATCTTCTCTGTGATGTGCTGAACCCTGATCAGAAGCTCTTGATTCTCATGTAGAAGAGTTTTATTCTCCGCCTTCACAGCACCATGCTGCCGCTCCAAACGCTCAAAGTCCCCAAGCTCCGCACGCATGTTTTCAATTTGCTGTTGGAGGTTTATTTTGCTCTGCACAAGGTTTTGTCTTTTCTCTGCTGCCGTCCTCAGTTTTCCCTCCAAGGCAGCTTGTGATGAAAGTTGTTTACGCAACTTACTTTTTTCCTTCCCCAGTTTTTTGACAAAAGCCTCTGTTTCTTTGTTAGTGGTTTTAAGCACCCTAAAATAGTCCTGTAATTCATCAAAACTAAGGTTCTCTCTCGTGGCCTCTGTTTGACCACACACTGGACAACGTGTGTTGAGATATTTTGACAGCTCCACACCATCACTCTCCTTCAGGGAGGCGTCATCCCTCTCAAACTCATGAGGAATTGCCTGTTTACGTCTAAACATCATCAAGTTGCTTTACACCTCTTTATCAGGGATGTCGTGATGTTTATGATGCATTGCTAACTCTTTTAACCTTTACCTTTTTTGCTTGTCCTTCGCACTCCTTCTTCTGGGCAGGTAAAGAAGTTTAACAACAGCTGGGATCCATAAGGTCGCATTGCTGCCATCCACTGGATTAAAAGGGTAGTGTGGTGATTGAAGCTCGATCTTCCCTAGTTTGAGCTTCGGGCCGAGTATGACATCACTGGGTTCTTCCTTTGAAGAGTGTGAACAGAAGGTGATGTTATAGTGTGTGACATCATGATGTGGCTTTGAAGACTGGAGACATGAGAGTTAGAACAAATAACACAAAGCAATAGCAATAGGTTGTTGTTTTTACCTGCTATTCAACAGCTGTGATTGGCCATCTCCCTTATTTGGTCTTCCTGTTTCATCATGAAATCAGTGCTGATTGGACGTCCAAGATTTTTCCCGCACTTTTTTAGTAGTTGAAAAAAAGATGATAGTTAGCCCACAAATAACTAACCTGGTTATCAGTTGACAAAATTAACAGCAGCAGCTATGGGTTAGCTAAGACGATAGCTAGCTTACCAACAGCTAACGTGGGTATCAGTCAACCTAATTGAGAGCAGCACCTACGAGTTAGCAAAGGTGATAGTTAGCCCATAAACTGCTAACGTGATTATAGGTCAGCAAAATTAACACCAGTGGCTATGAGTTAGCTGAGAGGATAATTAGCGCACCAACAGCTAACATCGTTATCAGTAAATTTGACCAAAAAAATAATAAAAGACAGACATTAAAAGACAGAGGAGGATGTTTGAAATCCTGAAACCAACATTTATTTCTTTTTTTTATCATTTAAAATACAAAATATTTTTGCAATAATATACTGTAGAGTAAACCACTTTGACAGCCTTTCATGCTTCTCATGTAGCTTCAACATCAACCAGTATGTCATTAAATATAATATATACTGTACAGTATATCCTACTGCATGTTCAGTCAATCCTCACACTCCAGTGGGCCAGTACAAATCATTTTCCATGCCGGCTCAGTATGCTCCAATTTTTTCTTAATTTGTTTATTTTTGTTAAGTGCACACTCTTAAAAGATGCATCAGTTTCAGGAGAAGTCTACTTTCAAAATGGATTTTTCCAACATGCTGCCTCCGGATACCGACTCAGACGATGGAGTCTGTCGATGAAGTGTGTGCCTTATTATAAAAATGTACAGAAAAGGTGCGTGAACAGTCAGAGACGAAGAATACAGGTGTCACACGTTCTCAGTCACAAGTCATATAGTCTCTTTTGATACCTGATAGGCTAAAACATTTGAGAGAGTTCACCTGACAAGTTGAGAAACTAAAAAAAAAAAAAAAAAAATCTAATTTCCACAGCAGATAAAAACAGTTCAAAACTATAAATCTCATCGCACACAAATCGGGTTTTCAGGTCACAGAGGTCACGGCTTCTCTTCGACCTCCGTCCTCGACACACGATTCAAGCATTTTATTTACAACAACAAAAGATATCTACATGTGAAAAGGTGACGGGAAAGAAGAAAAAAAAAAACTTGATGCAAGTTATGATAAAGTCAAAGGATGGGAAGTCGGAAAAAGAAAACGTCCCGTAGCTCCTGATCAAGGTCAGCACAGAGTGTGTGAAACGCCTCAGAACGTACGACTTATTGGGGGTACAAAGTACAAAGCGATAGAATACCGCATGCATGTGCTCCACACACACACACACACACACATTCGTGCACTCAAACATTCACACACCTTTTCCATTTGATAGCAATAGAAAAAGTCACAGAGTCCTCCTGCTGCTGCTGCTGCTGCTGCTGCTGCTGCTGCAGCTGCTGGTGCTCGGGTTGGAAGGGAAAAGGGTTTTATGCACAGCACAGCACCGCACACGATGAAATCTGTCCTCTGTGTTTGACCCATCACCATAGTGAGCAGAGGGCAGCTCAAGCTAAATGCCTGGGGATCAGTGTGGGGACGGTACCACGCTCATTGCACTTCAGTGGCACCTGGTGGTTGGTGGATATGAACCTGACTTTCCCTCCTTTACCATAAACACTACAGACCTTTTTCATAACCAGCCTCTAGGTTCACGATCAGTGAAACGCATTAAGCAGGAAGTCAAAAGAAGAGACAAAAAAGAAGAAAAAGAAAAAGAAGAGTCTCTTTGGTCAAACAACACTTGTGGGACAAAATGTCTCTGTCTGACGCAAAAACCAGTAGTTTCACCGCTTGAAGTGAAACAAACTCAAACTCTCAGAACAGGAAACTTTAGTTTAAACCTTTAGTTTCGTCCATTGGAGAGCGGCATGACACATGACATCAGAGCCTGGTTCCTATTGGCAGTTACCTGGTGTGTATTATTGGCAGTAGTTCCGTGACCCTCCATAGCGTGAATGAGTGGTAAAATTTAAAAAAAATTAATTCATTTGGACGAATCTGAAAAATAACCTTCAACACCTTCGTTCTCCGGGGATGAACTTTTCCACAGTGAGGTGAGGGCGGAGTTTCTGAACTTCACCAAGATGTCGGTTCGACTCCACCTCCGCTCGTCTCGCTGACAAATGGTATAGATTTCGGTGGAGATTGGTCAAAAAAACCACATATGAAAGAAGACTTTGAAGCTGAACACACAGAGCAGCTGACGTTCCACCTGTTTCGTTCTGGAGGCCGATGTGTCCCTGGGCCCTAGGCTCCTCCTCCTCCTCCTGACGCCGGCAGCATTCTATTGTCCGAGTGAACGGCAAAAAGGTTTGTCCAGATTTGAACAACACTTCCTCTCTTGGTTGTCATGATAGAAAGTCAAAGCCAAAGTTTAGATTCTGTAGATCCTGGAGTTGAAAATACAGCCTTTTCTCAATTCTTCAACAAACTAAAACGGTCTTTACAAGACACACGTTAGCACTGTCAGGACACACGCAACACACCGTGACGGAACAGTACGGTCCAGTGACGGCGACTTGGCCGAATTGTGTCAGTTGTGATTCTCGATGCGAATATTTGTGAATGTTATTTAATGCATATTTGCCTGTGGGTTCATTCAGAAAACATTACACGTTGGAACAAACACACACACACACACACTCAGTCACACTCCTGCTCAGTCTCAGTGGTAATACTTTTCATATACATTCTGTCTGTTTTCTCCCTCCCTCCCTCCCTCTCTCCCTCCCCCTCTCCCTCCCTCCCTCCCTCCCTCCTCTTCTTCATGGGGACGTGGGGGTGTTTCGTTGCTCACTGCAGCGTCCTGTGTGTTTTTCCAGACAGCGTCACAGTGTGACGGGGCTCAGCAGGTGTGAAGATGAGGACGTGTCAGCGATCTTGGTGACGAGCGGGCCGTGACCGCTCGAGCGACCACGGTGAGAAGTCGGTGTCCACGGCGACGGTCACGTTAGCAATTGCCATCACCACGGTGGTCACATTTGCTAAGGTGACGAGAAAAAGTGGCTGAAGCGAGTTATCCCCAAATCCAAGACGTCGTCCCCTTAGACGAACGAGTTCATGGCGTTGACCGGCGAGGGGGCCTCCGAGCTCTCGTTGCCCTCGTGCGTGTCTTTTTCTTTCTTACCGCTGTACTGGCCAATAAAGGAACCGTCCTCGTTGAATTGTCCGTCCCCACCCTCCCCGTAGTCCACCAGGCTGTCGTCGCTCTCGTCGCGGCGCACCGTCCCGTTGGACGGTGTCCGGCTGCCCTTCAGTGGTTTGTGGTCCTCTGTGTCACTACGAAGGGGAAAAAGGCTGGTTGGATTAGGACATCGTTTATGAGATGGTTGGCTCTGCAGTGGTCAGAAACCTGAGGGCTGAGGATTTAACACTGGCACAAAATAAAATAATCTGACCTTTTTACTGCACGACCGTAACCTCATACCTATAAATTCTTAAGGCAGTGGTTCCCAAAGTGTGGAGCTGGTCCCCCTAGGAGGGCGATTAGCAATTGGGTGGCCCCCCTAGGAGGGCGATTAGCAATTGGGGGGTGTTACAACAAGGTTAATAAGTTTAAATTTCAATATTTTCCTTAACTGTCCTAGAGTGGGGGAATTTCTTGTTCATTTTTTTGATTACATTTTATTAATGATAGGTTGGAACCAAAAGCGGTGAAAGTGTCGATACAAAGGTGGCAGATAAGAATCCCATTTACAAATGGGGGGCGCTGCAGTAAAAGTTTGGGAACAACTGCCTTAAGGGAAAAGCATAGCACAAGTGTGTCCAAAGTCATTGGGTTTTTTTGTTTGTTTTTTTTGTTTATATTTTGCAGAACATCAGTGACGATCTTTACAATTTTCTTACTATTTCAAAAACTCTGGCAATCTCACAATAGCAAGTTTTACTTGTTTGCTCTCTAAGATTCCAGCTACCACACTGCTGTCAGTAGACACATAATGCTGGTTAATAGCAATGCTAAATAAAACTTAGCCCTAAGCAACATAAATTAATTTAAAAAAGGACATAGCAGAACACTGAGTTGCTCTGTGCTCTATATAACACTGAAGCTGGGACCTGGAAATGGAACTTGTTTGGGTTTAGATTTTATTTGATTCAAAGACTAAAATAAATATATATATATATATACGACAATGCAGTGCCATCCCAGGTCCCCGCCCCCTCAATTGGTCCCACCCACCATTCTAAGTCTGGACACCCCTGGCAAAGCAGTAAACTTACTACAGTTTTAAAATCTAAAGAGTCATTTAAAAGTGCACTGCCCTGGACCGTCCACTGGGTGGCTGTGTGAGTGTTGTAGAGGTTTTGTCGTACAGGGTTAGTGACCACTGCGTAGGGAGTCTCTGCAGAAGGCGTGCTGTTTGGTTGTTTTATTGCAAGAACTGCATTCAAATCAGTCCGGTTACATGCAGTAATCCAAAATGCATCTTGGGTAATAGGACGTTCAATAGTTCATGTACGGGATCTGAGGATCCACTCGGTGCATTTGTGTAGAATAATATCAAATTCGGATTAAATCATAAAATCAAAATCAAAGGTGGAAACGGTCATAACAGCAGGTCGTTCGACTACAGTTAGCTTCTTTCGTTCAGTCATGTCGGGGGAGCGGGGGGGGAGGGGGTTTCTGAAAGGATGCGTGATTTGCATGCTTGGTCAACGTAGCTTATCTTACCTCTCCATAGACCTAAACACAGAAAATAAAAATGGAGGCAGACATGAGAAGCGATTCATGAGACGATGAGTTCACAACAACCTCAAAGGCCAGAGCATGCAGAGGTCAAAGGTCCTAGATAACCCATTAGTGTTTACCTGGGAAGATTCTACAGAAATGTGACGAAAGACTGACTTTTATGTTAGCGTACCTTAGCTAAGGATGGAGCTACTTGTTAAGGTGCAGTGACGATTGGTCTAAAGCAGCAAGGGAAGCTCACCTTTCACTGAAAACCTCCTGAAATCACCAGTCACTGTTTTTATTACATTTTATTTACTGACATTGCACTAGTTCATTTACTCAGCTAATGTTTTTTTTTTCTGATACATTCCAGTAATTGAACCTGATAAAGTTCAGCTTCAGTTAGCATTTACGAAGCAGCACTGGATAGGTGTTTTTTTGCTCTAATTTAAGGGGTCATCAGTTATATTTGCCGGAAGGCTAAAGATTTTCTGGACAGACGCCTTAAGCACTGGAGGCTCAAATAAAATAAAATCAAAATCAAAATTTTTGCCTAACATTATTATATGATGTTTATTTTGACTCAAATAAAATGTCAACATTTTTGTCTAACATTATTATATGATGTTTATTTTGGAATCCAGTCATGGGCCACAAGTTGAAAAACACTGCTATAAAAAGTGACAATTTTATTTTTAACATTTTATCATGTTGAGTGGTTTTAACTTAGAGATATTTCCATTTGTTCTTCAAATTCATTTTGTCTTGTTTTTTTCTCCTTGTTTTAACCATTAATTTGTTTCCACCATTGTTGGTTTTCATTAACTAATTCTAACTAATCCTAACTAACTGACATGATCTTCCCTTGTTTCATAGACCAGCAATCGCCACTGTTCAGGTGATTTTTATTTATTTTTTTAATTTTTTATTTAAAGCTGCCATCAGTGGTGTTGTCTTTTTGGCTGCGTGTTGTTTGTCATTTCCTGTTGTTGTGGTCGTTACCATCATGATTGTGTTCCCAATTTGCAATGATTCAAGACAAGGGAGACAAGGACGTCCAAGATGGAGCGTCCAAGTACGGGGGGGGGGAGGGGCTCACTGACAGCAGCTTTGTGTGGTCGGTTAATGGAATCCCTGTTTAAAGCCGTCGGATCAGCACAGATGTTTGTCTTGCCTCTGTGGAGTATTTGGTTATGGAGTCTGGGGTGAGGAGTGTCTCTGCAGCCTGGTACAAAGCTCTACGTACAGTACAAGTCAACAGCCACGTCAGGACACAATGGGTGGAGGAATATACATATTTTAAGTACTGCGTGTTGAGAATACGTGCGTTTTTTTTTTTTTCTCCTCATCTCACCTGTATTCTCCGAACGTCCCGTCGTCTTCCTTCATGGGCTGGATCTCAGGGTCCTGGTGGGCTTCTTCTTTCTCCTTCACTGTGGTTTTTAAGAGTTTGTTTCAATCGTGTTCATGTCAAAAATAAGTGTATGACGGATGTGTGTGAGTGTACTACCTGGGTATTTGCCCCCTTTGTTCCTCTTGATGAAGCAGACTATGAGGAGGACCAGGATGAGGAGCGCGATGGCACACATCAGTCCTATAAACCAGCCCTGGGTCGCGATGTCCACATGTCGGCTCGGAACGGCTGTAAAGAATTTCAGACAGAGTTGATGCCAGTCCAGGTTTATACACAAACCTCCTGTGATGAGGTGATTTTCTGTCTGTTTTCTTCATGCTCAGACAAACAGAGGCTGTAAACTCAAAAATGTGTTAAAAGACAATGATTGTATTTTTAAGGATGCACGACAGTATCAGATACTGATAATCGACGGCTAAAAATGCAATGATTTTTCCTTAAAATACCGTTATCATTTACCTGGTAATGCAATTCAAGTTAAAAAATTTACTGATGAATTCAACAAAGACAGACAGACATATTCTGCTACTATGATACAAGCTAAAGATGGCTACCTACAGTTAGCACAACATGACATCGGCAGTGTTACAATTTACGGCATGCTAATGCTAAGCTTCACAAGAAATTAAGTCGACTAATTTCAAAACAATAACTTAATTAGGGTCATGTTAGCAAAGATAGAGATCGCCTTGGCAGCATCAGCTAGCACAGAGGCTAAATGAATAAAAACACAAAGTTAGAGTGGCTGGTTTGGAAGTTTGGAAGGTGCTAGAAGTCGGCCATGGACAGATAAATGTCCAAGGCAATAAATACTTATCCAAATCAAAAATATTCCATTAATTCCTGGTGTTAATTGTTGGAATAGTTTTAGCGTCTAGATGGCGCTAGTGGCCCAAGTTTGGGCCCTGGCACTAAGGTTAAGAATCACTGCCATAACAAATTTAGTGTTGATCTTTCAGTATCTGAAAATGATTGGTTATTGGTATTAAATAAAATATATATATATCGTGCATCCATAATGTTTTAGGATGGAGGGAATGGCAAAAAAATTAAAAAAAAAAAAAAAAAATAATAAAATAATCGCTCAGACAGAATAACTGGTTTTTTCTTGATGAGTACGAGCAGCATGCATTAGACTAATGTATGGACATGGTTCACATGCTTCTACAACAACAATCAAGAGAAGTACACAATCCAACATCTGAGGTCATGGGTCAGTGTAGATCTCATTGGACAGAACTGACACGAAAATGAGGAATTAATGAGGAATTAATGAGGAATTAATGAGGAACCTGACGGTGAATTAACATTGAGGAACATCTACTGCACTCTGAGGCATGCTGCCTCACCTGGCACCGTGACCAACACTTCATCTGCGCTGTGGACTGTCAGGTCACTGGGGTCTCTAGCTACCACACGCACCCTATAGGACGTCCCTGGCTTTAACCCTTTAATCATATGCGAGTGTGAGCCGTTTACCAACTCTTTTTTCCAGTCCTCTTTACCTAGAATCGGGAGTTGTGGGTGAGAGAAGAGTAAAGAGCAGGTGGTGAGATTGGGGAGGAGGTTGTGGGTCAGATTGCTGTGACTGATCAGACTGCTGCCCTTACTGTTCTCTACAATATATTCCACAAAGACATTCTTGTGGTGTCCAAAGTATTCCCAACTGATCATGGCACCGTCATCGGATACAGACGTGTTAACTGTGCCGAAGACAGGGCCTACAGGGGGCGCTGTGGAGAAGAGTGTGTTCAAACAAAATGTATTACCTGAAAATAACATGTTAGAGTATGGAGTGATAACAAGTCAATTTAAAGGTTCACCAAAACAAGTAGATTCAACTCCAGAGAAACAAATAATTATTTACTAATCTACAAATTTTAAGCCTCAAAAATGACATTAAAAAAATAAAAATCGAATAAAAAAACCCCAAAACAATAGTGTAAGGGAAACACCACTTTCTGAGGTCTAAAATAAAGCAAATTTGATTTGTAACATTAGTTAGTGTCACAGGGAGTGCGTGTACCCTTGTGTAACGGGGTGTGTAGAGAGTGATTGATGGGGGAGGTTGGGTGAGGGGGCTCTGTGAGGCCTGAAAAAAACATGGAAAAGAGTGAGAGAACAGTCCAGAATAACCAACAGTCTCTACTGCATCGTTGCCGAAAGGAATAAAAACTAGTAGCACACTTGGTTCAAGAGACGTTTCCTATAAAAGGGCAGCATGCTTATTATTATTATTATTGTTATTAGTATTTTTATGAAAACTCTATTCTGACTAAACAACGTGTAGCAACGGCGGGTCAAATGGTTAGTATCACATTTGATGAATTACATCCATGAGCATCATGCATGAGAGCTAATCAAACTGCGGCTAATAATAATGCATAACTAATGTAAGATTATGCAGCACTATAGTCAGGGCTGAAAAGGCTCAGGGCAAAAAGTCGTTAAAATACTAGCAACTGCCATATAATACAATGTGATGTGTATTTTGTGTATAAAAACTTATGTTGTTAGCCGAGTTAGCCTAATTTAGCCACACTTAATAATTTAGTATGGCTAATAATTTTGAACATACACAGTATGTAATACAAAAACAAACTTAAATAAACCAAAAATATATTACGTACAGAGGTTTAGTTATAATTAGCCAAAAGATAATGAAAAGTAAGACCGGTAAAGTTAGCCAATTTAGCTTAAAATATTAAACCAACCGCTAACTAGAAAATCATGCAGAAGTTTTAAAAAGGGAAGATTATTAAATTAAGTGACAAAAAGCTAGCAAACAACAGAATTGGTGTGTAAAGAATACATGGTAACTTAGAACAGTGAAAATAAAACCAGAAAGTTTAGGCTAGTGGGGCTAGCAAGCCGGATATAAAAGGGAGCTACCTGTGAAGTAGCAAAACCAAACGGTTAGCCAAAAGGTATTTTCGTTTTAATAATATTGTAAGGGAAAAATGGGCCATGAACATGAGTTTTTTTTTCTACCCTGTCTATAGTGAATATATAACTTGTTAATTTTCTTAATCTAAAACAAGCTCGGCTGCTTGAAGATGCCATGAAAGTTTGCCACTCTGAAAGTCCCGTTATATAAAACACAGTCTGCTAACATGCTAACTTAGCAACATGCAGGGCAAAATACAGACAGGTTCTCTGTATTAGAACAAATACTATCATGCAGGGACTTCCGGTGGCAAACTTGGTTTTTACCTTTGCCCGTCACTACTGTGGGCTGAGTTTGAGCTTCAGAGAGAAAAGAAAAGAGAGATGTAAAGAGGTCTTAAGGTGGGCTGAGAGTCTGCAGTAGAGCTCCAGGTCTACGACCACAGGAACACGGGATGTGACCTCTGTATTTTGTATGTAGTTTGGAGGTAAAAGGCTTTATCTGACTCCGAGGTCTCACCTGTGTCCATGACTGTGAACGCTTCGTTGGTGACGTCAGGCCCAGAACCCTTTATCGTCTTCGCGCTCAGGTAAAACTTGTAGAGCATGCTGGCATTTAGGTGGCTCAGAGTGACCGTGGTCTCATTGGCTGAAAACGTCATGACTTTGGTGGGACCCACTTCATTGGTGTTGTTGACTGTGAAGACAGTAGGACACATACAGTATGGTTCTGATCCTGACTGGACCCAAATACTGCTTCAGAATGAGCTCATTCAACTCACCTGCTTGGAATTTCAAGGTGTACCCAGCGAGGCGCCCATTGTTGGTCTTCGGTGGACCCCACTCCAAGGTAAGAGAGTCTAAACTGGGGTTGACAACGTTCAGAAACGATGGCGGTCCAGGGACTAAAAACCAAATCAGAATGTGGTCAGGCTCTGTAGAACAGCACCAGTGACTCTTCTTTGGTGGCTTCATAGCAAATACTAGACCAGGCATGGGCAAACTACGGCCCGGGGGCCGGATGTAGACCGTTTGGCTTTTTAATCCAGCCCACCAAATTTGTCCAAATTATGTCATTAATTTCTATTTTCAAGATACTTCTGCCTTTCCCCTGCAATGCCCAAATTTCCCCAATAGATGGCATTGAAAAGGCTAAAAGCATTTTAGCCTTTACTGACTGACTTTTCCATGTCATTTGTTTTAGTTCACAAAAACTCTCCATGCATCTGCTCCTGCCACACCCACCTCCCTCTGGGGTCTCAAATGTCTTGGTGGGGCTCGGTGGACCTTCTCCTTTGTTGTTGAAGACCTTGACGAAGACCTTGTAGACACTGTACGGCTGGAGGCTCGGCAGAGGGACTTCACTGAGGTTTCCTTTGAACGTCAGAACCTCCTCCTGATAGTCGGTCTCTTCTTCTGTCTCGTGCACGCTGCGCTCACGTCCGTAGTGAACCTGGACACGAGAGTGGGTTTGGTTTAAAGCTTCATTTATATCTGATGTCCTAAAACAGAGGTCCGGTGTTCGCATCAACAGAAATACCTTGTATCCCTGCAGCTGTCCTCTGACTGACTGAGCTGGCACAGGCTCCCAGTGGATTTCTGCTCGTGTGCTGTTTCGAAGCAAGATCTGCACACGCTCAGGAGCAGACAGCGGCACTGAAAAAAATACGCCGTATGTTAAATGTGTAATCTAAAAATTAGCTTGAAAAGCGTTAGCATTAACCAAACAGCTAACAAAAATGACTGAAGTTATTTCACTCATACGCACACAGCCATTCACAGACAGACATACGCTACTAGTATAGCACAAGGTAGCCTACCAGAAAAGTCATTGATCACTTGTATAAACTTCGTTAACCCGTAAAAATCCATAAATTAGCCGCATCATTGTTTAAGCCGCAAGGTTCAAAGCGTGTAAAAAAAAAATATTGTGGAAATAATGGTATTTGTCTATTTAGGACAATATAGTAAACACATGTTCATGTACTGTATTTTTAATTGATTTTTAATTGGTGGGAATAATTGGGGGGAAAATGCAAAAATAATAAAAATATGAAATTCGTCAATAAAAACAGTTCCACTCACAGTCCTCTCCAGAATACCCGATCACCACCTCAGGGTCCGGTCCGCTGCCGTAGTCGTTGAAAGCCTGAACCTTAATTTCATAAGGCACAAAAGTGGGCGTTCCGGTCACTGTGAACGTGGAGTCGTTGGCCACATTCTGTGACAACCAGTCTTCGCCTGTGTCCCTCTGTCTCCACTGGACTTTGTATTCCAATCCCGGTCCGTTGGACTGGAGTCCGTCAAGTTGCTGCGAAGAAAGAACGGCCTTTGAGTTCGTGTTTCACGACCAGCTCACAGCGTGTACAACATTAAACCAGTGGAAAGGGCGTACTGTCCAGGTGATGACGAGGTTGCCAGGTCCTGTTCCTACTCCCTGAACATTGGTTGGATTTTCATCAGGAGCTGTAGAAGCAGAAATCAGGGTTAAATCTGTTTTTTCTTTTTCCAGTTTGGGTTTTTTTTTTTTTTTCATTCAGTACCTGCTGGGTTGGTTCTGTACTGGCGTGAAGGCAGGCTGGGGTCACTGAAGCCTACATTATTCTCGGCTAACACTCGGAAAGAGTAGTAGACGTACGGAGACAGGCTCAGCTGTGCTGTTGTGCTTGTGCCCGAGACCTCGGTCAGGTTGTTCCAGGTTCCAGGCTGGTGGAGCAGATCCTCGTACTGAATCAAGAATTCTGTGAACATTAAGAGAAGATTGGACCCTGGGTTTTTAGCAACAGAACTGTGTTTTTTTTAAATTTGGAAACTGCTGTTTTTGAGATATTTGTAGGCTACGCTGTGTAACGTAGTAGAAATACATATCGTGCATGTACTGCAGTATTTGTGAGGGCGTACTCTGTGTGGGACTGTTGTTCTCATCTCCAGGGATCCAGGTGAGTTGAACGCTCCTCTCAGTCTGGTCGGTCAGTTCCAGGTCAGTTGGTGGGTCGGGTATTTCTGGGAAAACAACAACAAAAAAAAAACTCAGAACAAATTAAAAATGGATGTTTTCTTAAAACATACATTTTGTTTAAACTTAAACTCAGTGAAAACAGCAGTGGTGTGGAGCGTCTTCTGTTTTCATTCAAGAAAAACAATGACTGAAAAAAATGAACACAAAACAAAGGATTTGCTGATGTATTTTCAAAGACAAACAGGTGAATGAGGTAAAAAAAAAAAACAAAAAAAAAACAGGCAGTCAACGTGACCCCAAAAACCTCACTGTTTCAACAGACAGCATTCATGAGTGAAAATGGTAAAAGCTACAGGTGCCACACTCTGTTTACCGTAGGCAATAGCTGGAGTAGGAGTTGCCTCTGTGGCCGCGAGAAGCAAGAGTAAAGTGCAAGAAGAAAGTTAGTCATTAGTGACGGAGACAAGAGGAGAGCAGCAGAAGTTCAGTTGTTATGAATCCAACTTCAAATATAACAGACATCTGTATGTTTTAGAACACATTACACAATATATCATGTCAGTACAGTACAGTAAAACCATGGTGTATCACCTCAAGATACCCAAGAAAATATGATTACAGTCATTTTTAAAACATTTGTTTCCTTAATAATTCATTTTTGCTTTTTCACAAATTACAAAGTTAGCCAAATTAAAAAAAAAATAAATCAAAAAGTAGCTAATAATTAACAAAAGATCATGAAATGTCATCAAAATATCTATGTACCTCACTGTTATGCCATAATATTTATGGAAAAGTACGTTAACTCAACGACACCAAAACTGAACGTTGTAGCAAAGATTATAATTAGCTTAATTAGCTTACTGATCGGAACAAAGTAAACTCGGCAGAAGCAGATATAATCCAAAGGTGTAAACAAAACAGATTTAAAAAAAATACTAATAAATTAGCCAAACATTTTGACAAACAAAAATGGTCTACTGTTTAGTCAAATTTAGTTGCAATATTTGATTTTTTTTTAAAAAACACACAGAGTTAAGAACCAAATGTGTGGAGGCTACGTACCGACAACAGTCAACATGGCGGTGGCGGAGTCCTGGTCCAGGGGGGTGTTCACGAAGCAGGTGTAGGAGCCCTCGTCTTCCTCCGTCACATCGCTAATCGTCAAACTTTCCATTTCTACTTTAAACCTTTAAAGTTTGAGAAAAAGTAACAAGTACATGAATCTCCCTCTGTGGACGGTAACAGTTAAAGATGTGAGACTGATTTGGCAGGGGGGTCATTTTTATTATTTTTTTACCTTTCATTTATTGGCAGCTCCCCATTATCTTTGAGCCACGTTATGGTTGGAGTGAGGGAGACGTCATGTTTGACTCTACATTCGAACACGGCACTCAATCCTCTCTGCACCACCTTGTACTCGGGCTGCTTCAGGATACGGGTGGGCTCTGGAGCAGAGAGACGAGAACAAGAAGGTGTCTGTGGTGAACGACAACGTCATCTCTGCTAATAAGAAAAAACTACTACCTCACACACCTGTGCACAGACAGTAACTCTACTGTATATTCATCAATTGTAAATATATATATATATATATTTGTTATCCTTTGTCATTTTGTTAAATGCTACTAACGCTAGTTCTGATCACGAAATAGCACTACGTTAAATGCACTTGAACTATGCACCGTTGTGTATCACAGTATAGCCAGAGTGGTATAGTGTAATATGTGGGTTAGTAGAGATGGTCTGTGCAGTGTGGGCCTGTTTAGTTCAACACACCCTGATATACTGACAGGAATTGAAGAAAGACAAACAAAAAAAAGTCCTTCTTCAACAGCTCTGAGTCGCTCTCTTTTTTTAAGTTTTTAAGAGTATTTCATTGTTCTCTCCATCACTGTTGCATAGACAAACAAAGCTAAGATGTTAGCAGTAAATAAATAATAGTTTTATGATGACGACTCATTTTCAAAGGCACACCTGAAGATCTTTGATGGTCCACTAGGGCGCCACGGCACAGTGTTTGGGGATCACTTTTATATTCTAATTTTCACACCTAATCCCAAAATTAAAAAAATTGAAAAATGTAATTTATAGTTCTGTGGTCACTTTTCTGACCTTTAACCTCGAGGTAAACGTGGTTTTCCTTGAGTCCCAGGTTGTTGGTGGCGATGCAGGTGTACTTTCCGCTGTTGTGCGGCTGAGCCACCAGGATCTCCAGTGTACCGTTCTCATGGATTACATAGGAATCGCTGTTCTTGATGCTCATATGACTGTCTTTGAACCTACAGAGAAATTCAAACGGCAAAATCCGTGTCGTGTTACACAGGAATTTGTTCACAGTCACGAACGCAGAACGCTAAATCCACGAGTCTCTACCATGTGATGGCTGGTATTGGTGAGCCGAAGGAGGCGCAGTGAAGAAGGGCAGGGTTGTTGGTGATGACCTTGTACACCTGGTTAGGTGGAGTCAGCACTCTTGGTGGTTCCGCTACGAGAGAGAGAGAGAGAGAGAGAGAGAATACTAGCCTGTTAGCTTAGCATCTATGAAGGGGTGCATCCTTTACTTCAAGTTCATATAATGTATGCAGCACCACCTACAGGTGAGATAAGGGGAGCAGGTATCCAAACTCAATGGCAGCATTGAGCATATTTTCCCTCTTTGTGTCAAGCCACAACCTAAAGATGCCGCTAACATGCTAGCAAAACACTAGCCTGTCGGTCCTGGTAACGCGCCACAAAAACAATACTAGCCTAAGTGTCTTTAATGGTGTTTGTCTTTTGTATTTAACTTTTGATGTCAATACAGCACCATCTACAGGTTTAGGAAGAGGAGCTACATGCTAAATGCTACCAAACACATGCATTCATCCCCTTTAACACATCTTTCTCTTTATGCAACAGACTTACCGAGAACACTGACAAAAGCGTTAGCTAGCAGGTAGCCGAACTCATTGGATGCGTTGCACTGGTAGACGGCACTGGATCCTGACTGCACACTGCTGAGTATCACAGTGTCGGCTTCCACCTTACGACTGGGATCCTCAGGAGCATCTGCGACCAAACCACAAACGGTATAAATCATATTTTAGAGAAATAATCGTCCAATAAGGACTTCAGCTCAAGGCTAGGTTGTAGAGACATGGATTTGTACAGGTTTTCTCTGAGACCACTGTGCAGTTTTCACTCACTTGTTAAAGGCACTCCATTGACAAACCAGGAAATTGTTGGCATTGGTTCTCCACTGACTCGACAAGTCAGGATTCCAGTCTCATTTGGAGCCAGGATCAGGTTCCTGGGAGCACTGATCCAAAAAGGAGCCGCTAATAAAGAAGAAAAACAAAGATGTCAGGGATCAATCTGCATTTTAGTAAAATAAACATTATTTATTACAATGTCGTTTATGTACATTTAAAGCAGTATTTTGTTTTAACCACAGACTCCTTCTGTAGACCAGACACTTGTTGAGCCCCGCCCCACGTCGACATGTTAACAGCTATTTCTTTACTTAACACATAATAGTGACTAAATAACTGTTATCTAAAAAAAAAAAAAAAAATTACAAGTGCAATTTCATCCTTTGGCTAAAATAAAGACTATTTAAATATTTAAATTTAAGTTTGTCCCCGTCCAGTCCACCTGTGCCCCCCCCCACTTTGGACACAAAATATTAACAAAAATGGAAAACAAAAAATTGGTGAGAGAATAAGTGTTGTGGCTGATTGTTGTACCTTTGACAGTGACTTTAATCATGTGTTGTGCACTCCCCAGTTTGTTGGAGGCGGTACATTGGTAATCTCCCGCGTCGGCTTCAGTCACCTCCACGACCTTCAGCATTTTCTTGAAGTTGTGAAAGGAAACCCTGCTGTTGGTCAGTTCAACTCCATCCTTCAGCCAGGAGATCTCAGGAGTGGGTCTGAGACGAAGGAAACCACCAGGTTACTGTCATATTGGTGAACGTGCTGTGACCCCGACAGTATGATCACATGAATCGATGACAGCACATTCACACTTACAGGCCCTCGGCGATGCATTCCAGCACCAGAGTCTCTTTTCTCAGAACCATCTTGGTGCTGGAGGAACCCTGAGGCAACATGAAACCAGGGCGGTGCTCCCCCTCTGGCCTGTCTGAGAACACACAAGTAAGAAAAATCCAAGTCAGAAACTGGAAAGAACATTAGACTTATTGCATTGATAATCAAAACAAACTGCAGGTAGATAAAAAATGTTATGAAATGAACACGTTTCCTAGGTAACAGTATGTTGTCGTCTTGACTTACTGTTGAGCACGGTCACTGAGATGGGCTGTTTCTGCTGGATGGTCTGAGTGTGGGGAAAACGGGCGTAGCAGATGTAGTCGCTCCTGGTGTCCTCTGGGAGAACGTTGGAAAAGTACAAGTCTCCATTCTGGGCCTGGGTCAGCCTTTGGTCCAACGGAAGCCTCTGGAAGTCTGGAAGAATGTGAGATTTTCACATTTATGTTGGTGTTGATTTATTGATAATAAAAACAAAAATGTTGCATCTAGATAAACTGACTGTTATCCATCCAGAATATGACGGGAGGGGGCAGCCCAGTGGGGGGCCGACACTTCAGCACCAGGGAGACACCCTTCTGCACTGAGATGGCTTCGTTTCTTTCTTTTGACCACAAGGGGGACCCTGCGAGTCACAAACGTCAAACATGGAATCTGTTAGTATTCCGTTGATTAGACATTTGACTGAACTGAATCCTTTAGAAACAAATACTAGGTTTGATTCCTTTGGGACATTTGACTGGACTGAATCCTTTAGAAACAAATACTAGGTGAAAAAATAAATATAACAATGTTAATAGGTAAAACATCAGTGAAACAGGTCATACTGGACTGTCTGATGACAAAGTTGTCGGACACAGCCGTGCCATGCTCATTGTGGGCCGTGCACTGGTACGTTCCCTCGTACGCCTGTGCCTTTTCCCCGCTGATGTCGATGACCAGAGTTCCTGAACTGGGCCTCATCAGGACTTTGGAGTCCGACTCAACGTCGAAGTGACTCCCATTTCTCGTCCAGGAGAAACTAAGGTCAGCCATAAGATAAAAAAAAAAATCTTAACTTGCTAACTTGAACATTAGCTGAAGCTAATACCATCAGTTTTAAGGGCAGGTACATCTGACAGACACTCAAAAAAAACCAAATACTTTTTTTAAAAATAGTCATATATAGTGGGGGTTACTGATCGTTATTTAAGTCTCAGTTCCTGTTTTTTTTTTTTTTCAGTTACTTTATTAGTAGGCATCAATCGATATTTTCTCTTTTATCGTCATTTTGGAATCCAGTCGTGGGTCAGTGGGCCGGGTTAGACCTGCGGGCCACCAGTTTATAATCACTGCTGTAAGCCGACCTTGTGGTCATTTAATGGTAAATATATTTTGCAATCTTTTTTTTTTTTTTTAAAAAACAACACAATTTCCTGAGACGTCCTTTTACAATTCAGTTAAAAAAATAAAAATACAAATCATATTAATCTACGACATTTATTCCAGTTTGGTTTTTTTTACACTGTGTTCAGTCTTACCAAATACAAATCATATTAATCTAGGACATTTATTCCAGTTTGTTTTTTTTTACACTGTGTTCAGTCTTACCTTGGACTGGGTTTACCCTTGGCCTCACACTGAATAATGATGTTCTCCCTCGGATCAAAGATATTATCCTTGGGGGATTGCTGTGTTATGGTGGGGGGTTGTGGCACTGGAGAAACACAGAGTAAAGCACGGGTCAGGATCACACGCACAGACAGACAGATGGACGGAGATCTCAGTGTGAATGGAAAACACATCCAAACTGGGATGAACATGCAACATGCAGCCACGTCAAGTCAAAAATACCTGAAGCTAAAACACTCACTGCAAACAAAACCAAATGAGACGGACCAGACGGACCATTTACTGCTCTGTGAAATGGTTTGAACAGCACTCCAAAACAATCATACTGAATCTAAAAAACAAAAGCATGCATCTGTAGAGCAAAAACTTATACACACTATAGTTTGGCCAACTTACATCCTTCCAGCACTTTAGCTTTTAGTCCATGGCGAATTGCCCGTAACACAGTGGTAGAATATTGAGGAAAGGTGTTAGTTTTTGCAAAGGAAAATCAGGTGGTTCAGATGAAGGAGTTCATCCTCCAGGTACAGTTTCTACATCCGTTGATCCTGCCTCACATCTGAGCTGCAACTCTTTTCTTTTCCAGGCAGGTTCAACAAATGCAGAAAAAGTAGTTGGAATATAAACAGACACTAAACAGAGTTTCTTTTTTTGTAGTCGGAGGTCCAAACAATCACATGCCTCAACGTGCAAAGAAAAGTAGGTTGGGATTTTTGAAAAAAAAAATAAAATAAATACAATTTTCATTGCCTGGAATAAAGGTAAAACGAGGGCTTTGTCTTGCTATCTTTATCAAGATTAGCTAAATTTTACTTGGTTTTGTGCCAATGTTTCATAGTTTAACGGAACTTTCAGTTCATTTTTTTTTTTTTTTTTGCTAAGTTTTAGCTTTAGTCGTTATACTCTGGATACTTTCATCTACGTTAGCCTAGTTTTGCTAATAAATTTTTCTTCGTCATTATTTTTATGCTAGCTTCTTGCTAGATTTGCCTGCTAACAGTTGTAGCTATTCATTTGGTAGCATCTACAAAATCAATTTGATGTATTTGGCCTCATATTTTATCATATTCTATTCATGTTCTATGACAGATGGTGTGTACTGTAAATTCCTCCAGAGGCCAAATGGGTTAAACCACATTACCAGTGTGACATAATCATGTTCAAGTGTTCGCCTAAATTTATTTTTAAAAATGTGTATTTAAACACTACATTACAGGCTGATATGATGAGTTATATAATCTCAGTGAGGATACTTACGATCAAGTGGCACTTCCAGTGCAGATGTCATTTGACTCAAGAGTATTAATAACATAGCTCCCAACTCTGGTATCCACTTCCTGTTCCTGTCGGCGGTTGAGGGTGTCATGGTGAAGAGCTTTTTCCAGAATTAACAGCAGCAGAGTTTGTTGACAATGTGGAGTCTGTGGGGGGGGAAAAAGGACAGTATTTGAGAAATCACATGACCAAAAATTTCAAACCATCTTTCACCTGCCGTCTGAGAGCCGAGTTCCACTCGTCATAAATAAAAAGAATTTCAAAATACCTCAAGTACATACGGTATCAGGTTAGTCTGTAAGAGTACAAAACGCAGACACAGACGTAAATATTTAGTCTGTACTGCAGCGTCACATTGTTACAGTCGGTTCAACATCAAAAGTCTGATGTTTAGGTCAAACGTCGGTAAAAGGCTCCGTCTGTCGGACGGACCATCGTTCTGCCGGTGTAAAGACTGAAGTCAAAACAAACTCAACTCCAGACTTAAACAACTTAAACACTTGTCTCCCTGTCCTCTCTTAAATCTACAGTTTGTTGATTGAAACTTATGGAGAAACAAAGTAAATGCACGTCAACGTCACAACAGTAGGTTCCATAGTGTAGCTCGCCGGCCTTGGAAAGCAGATCTGCCGTTAACACAAGAATTCTCCAAATATGGGATCAGTAACATACATCTTTTTTTCTTTCATTGGTCTCAGGTGCAATATTTTATTTTTACCGAAGCTTTAAGGCTAAACGAGTTGCCGACATCTGCCATCCAACAGGATGTCCAACAGAGCTGGAGTGAGATCCTGTAAAAGTGTGGATTTAAAAGTGAATTGGCTTTAAAATACCTTTAGAGTACCTATTTCAGAACATTCTGTAAAATTGAACAACCCAGTACCAAATGGAAAAGGACTCGGTACCGACCTGGGGGGCAAAACTTGTTGGCTGTGAGTTCAAAACTCAACCCCTGGGCCGATATCAATGAAAATGTTAAAGATTTTCATTGACGAAGAATGCATGGAAGAGAAGGAACTAAATCATGATATCAATGAACATGTAATTGCAATGCATGGAAGAGAAGGAACTAAATCAGTCTTCAACCATTTAAGCAGATTTTGGTGCGCCGGATTAAAAAACCTCCTGTGCAACATCTGGCCCACGAGCCATAGTTTGCCCATGTCTGGTCGAGCACCTCTTGTATAATTCATAATGAAGAGCCAGAGTGTACAGCGACCACCAACCGCATTGGCATTAATTTGATTGTGTGTGTGTGTGTGTGTGTGTGTGTGTCATGTATTCACAACAGAGTAATACAACTCAGCTCCAGCTGCGTTCAGCGAAGATTAATCTCTGCCTTCTGTGTAATGAATAAACGATGGCTCGGCTCAGACGATGAAATATTGAATTTTATATCAGGCAATTTGAAACAAGTGGATTATTTTAATTTTTTTCGAGAACGTAGACCTAATGAAATAATTCGAGAGTTGAACGCTGGTGAGCCACTGTCCCTCCTGTCAGCAGGCTGGGACGGGTGGGAAGAAAGAGGACGGGAGTTGAGTCCATACTCTGTTTTCATTATTCATAAGCAGCAGCATGTTTCCCTGCACATCCACTGTACACACGCAGCTCACACAGGCCTTGAAGGTGAAACTACTGGACCTGAATATGAAATGGAGTCGGTGAGGAAGCCCAGCTGATGACTGGAGGACGGTGTGGTCATTATCACACTCTGTCCAGGAGTGCGTCAGATAATATCGGGCTGAAGTCATTGGAGTGTGAGCGAATCCAACCTCAGGACACGAATCCACAAACATGTCTCAGTTTAGATCAAACTACTTAAGAGAAAAGAGACGCAACTGAACATGTTTGGTTTTCGTCAAACTGTGGAAAGATGATACTATGCAAATACGCTAATGCTACATGCTACTGCCGCAGGAGAAGAAATTGCCTATCGTAGAGCAATGAAGACCATATTAAGCCTTGGCAAAGTCAAAGCAAATACATTGAAATTGCTTAAAAAGACAACAACCACAAACAGTCATGAGGCGCTTTTATCCTCAATTGCACCCAAACTAGCTAGCAAACAGCAAAAACATAACTAGTTAGCTCAGAATGCTAGCTTAAGCTAGCCTAGAAACACCAAGTAGTGATGTTCAAGTTCAAGAAAAAAGACACAGCCCACTGGACTTTCTAATTCGGCCCACCAGACACTGGTACAAGGTACGGTAAAGACTGTCATGCGGTACAATGAATCAACTGTAATTTCTGTTGCAGACTGAAGTCATGCGGTACAATGAATCAACTGTCATTTCTGTTGATGCCACTAGATGGTGGCACGCATCGAATGTACCAAATCATTATTAAAAGTTTAGATTTATTCTTATATATTTTATTTATTTATATTATTTAGTCCATACTAATACCTAACTGGTCCGCCAGCCAAACTTTGGACCTCATTTTGGACCGTGAGCCACAGCGAATATCTAACATTTGCCTTTGAAAAAGTTGCTTCAGTCATGGTCGTTCCATGAAGGATCTTTTCAAGGAGGAAGACATTTCTCTGGCATCAGTTACGGTGTCACAGGAGGAGAAAACAAGACGCTGACAGAGGAAGACGACTTGGATAAATCTGGCTGGGGCTTCCTCCTCCTCC